CAAAATAATAAAGATTTGGAAAGTGATAATACTTTAGATGTTTCAAATGAAGAGGTTAAAAATGAATATGAAACCGATGAAAACTTTGTAGATGCAGATGAGACTTATTCTAGTAGTAACGTAAATAATAATAGAGAAAATGACGTTTTAGTAGAATCACAGAAAAGAAAGAGAATCCCAGTTTCTAGATATGGTAATCCAGTTACACACTTAATTTATGTTAACCATATTGATGCAAATGACCAAATTCATAGAGGCGATGAACTCCAATGATAGTAAGCAATGGCAAATAGCCATGATTCTGAAATAAATAGTTTAAATAAAAATAATACTTGGCAAATTGTAGAAAAATCCAAAAGATAAAAAGGTAATTGATGTTAAATGGGTTTTTAAAAGAAAAGTATAATGAATATAAAGCTAGATTGGTTGAGAGGGTTTCAGCAAAAAGATTTTAATGAAAATGCTTATCGCCTGTTGAAAAATGCAAACTATTGAAAATTTTATTGTCATACAGTTGTAAAAATAAATTATTTGTAGAGCAAATGGATGTTGAAACAGCCTTTTTAAATGGTTATGTAAAGTCAGAAGTTTATGTAAATCAACCAGAAGGTTATAAAACAGGAGATAATAAAGTTTACAAATTGCAAAAAGCTCTCTATGGTCTCAAAGAAAGTCCTAGAGTGTGGTATGATTGTTTTGATATATTTATAAAAACTTTGAATTTTTGTAGAAGTAGTTATGATTACTGTTTGTATGTTAAAAAAGCAAGCAAAGATCCAATATACATATTAATATTGTTGATGATCTTTTAATATGTTGTAAAGATAAAAATAAAATAAAAGAGGTGAAAAAACAAGTTTAATGAAACGATTTGCAATGAAAGACTATGGGAAAATTAAAACTATATTGGCATAGATATTGAGTATAATGATGATAAAAATGTGATGACATTAAGTCAAACAAAGTATATTGAATCTTTGGCTGCAAAGTATAATTTGGTAAATACTAAGTTATATGATACTCCTATGGAAACAAATTTAAAATTAGAGCAAGCTAGTGAGGTTGATGAAAGTATAAAGTACAGAAATATAATAGGTGAATTATTGTATATTAGTACAGGCACAAGACCAGATGTAGCGTACAGCGTTAATTATTTGAGTAGATATCAAAGTTGTTATAACCGAACACATTACAAATATGCAATGAGGGTGTTAAAATATTTGTATAAAACTAAGAATCTAAAGTTAACATATTATGATAATGCAGATGCTGATATTTTAGACTGTATGGTTGATTCAGACTATGCAGGGGATAATGTGGATAGGAAGTCTACAACAGGTTTTATTATAAGATTTTTTGGAAATTTAATATTTTGGAAAACACGTAAACAAAATACAGTAACTAAATGTTCAACTTTTGCAGAGTATATTGCATTGTCAGAGGCAGTAACTGAAGTACTATTTATAAGAAATTTGTTAAGTGAGTCATTTGATATAAACTTTTGTTATCCAATAAAATTGTATGAAGATAACTCAGGTGCAATTGCAATAGCTAAGTATGGTAACTTTACTAAAAATTCAAAGCACATTGAAGTGCAATATCATTATATAAACGAGAATTATGAAAACAAACTTATTGATATAATTAAAATTGATACAAAATGTAACTTAGCAGATATGTTGACTAAGAGTCTAGATAAATCAAAATTTTTGAAAAACAGGTTTGAATTAAGATTAATTTAGTTAAGAGTTCAGATTATTACTTTAAAGTACTGTTTAAGTAAAATATTAAAACTGTAATAACTTTAAAATACTGTTCATGTAAGATAAAATGTTAAGATTATAAATTTAAGGAGGTGTGTTGTAATAAGGTAAATATTATAATCTTAAGTTAAATAATATAAGTAGCGCCATCTAGTGTTAAGTTGGCAAGTTTCTCATAGACGTCGATATATTATCTGTGTTCTTCCCTTTTGTCGTCTGCATGGCGCCCATCATGTGCTTTCTGTGAGATTTTTAATAAAACTACAAAATATAACAAGCTATTATCTATTATTCAACCACATCCACCACTTCAACAAAACAATATTGAAAAGTAACTGATGTGTTAATTATAATACTCAAATCAGATATTTCAATTCAATGACAAAACACTACCACTACAATTTATAATAATCTCTCGGGGAATTACTTTCAGAACAATTTTATTAATTTATTTTACTAAACAAATATTATACATGTTAATCTAAAGAAGTACTTGGCACGCGTTCATACGTCTGCTGTAAAATACTTGAACATAGTACTTTATCGTGATGACATAGTATTGTGAAATAGTATTGCGAAATTATAAGATATAGTCATCAGTATGTCAATGAAACATAAAGAGGATTTGAAGTGGAATATTTTGGAAATACAAATCATCAAGGTGTTATCGCAAGAACTTTATTATTGCAGTAGACATCAGCATCTATATCCTTATTTAACTACTCTAAAAATAAATTTTCATACAATTACCTACATAAACATTCAATATCAATTATCTGTCAGTAGATTGATTGCCTCGTTGGCCGAGTGGTCGCAAGTGCGACTGTCGGGCAAAGGAGTCTCAGGTTTGATTCCCGGGTCGGACAAAGTATTACTAGGTTTTAAAAAATCTCAATACCTAGTAGCACGGAGTCTGGAAATGTGCCCGATATATGGTAATAGGCTCACCTCCTATTACATGGGACTCATAAAATAAATAGTAAAAATTGGGTGTTACATTGTACAGTGGCATTATGTGCCATAATGTGCACCTCTGCCTATCCTTTCGGGGATAAAAAGGCGTTATGCTATGTTTTGTTTATGTAGATTTACTAACTGTCACATTTTCTATAATAGAACTTAGGTAACAGATATGTCGAATTCTACTATCAGATAGATGGCTTAGGCCTTAGCCTAGTCGTAAGTCCTTAAGGGGTTAGGAACCCTTAGCAGTTGTAGAATACAGATTATGTTAAAAATAGGCTGCGGTATCGCAGAAAACTGCGATATCGTGAATTTTGATAATTCCGCCTCCATATTGCCACCGCGGCGCTGGAGAAGATCACGCCGTGACTCCTTTAACGGGTAACCGGGGCTTCGGCTCGACGTGCACGAGAAGGAACGGGTGGTTTTTAGTCAGTAAGAGTCTCACAATCCCTCCCGCCTCACCCAGGCGGGAGCAGTCGTCCGATGATTTCCCCCTCTTAAAAAAAAGCCTAAGGCTAAGACCATTGATTACTGTTTATTTTAAGCTATTTATATAATCTGAACTTAACATGAGACTTACCTACGTCAGAATATGAAAACAAAATCAAATAAGAGAAGCAAAAATTGCTGATAAATGAATGACTAGTTGTGTACCGATTAAGCAATACTGCTTGAACAGTGTTATAGTATTATAACAGTAATACCTTCTTTTATGTCAAAGCAAACATTTTTGATACTGCGATGATGTGTTATCAGTAGCACAAGTCTGTTGAAGAGCATATCTCTTAACTATAACTGACGATAACGACAAGCTAGTAAATAAAATGTATGTAGATATCGATTCTCTGTGTGATCTACATCTACACTAGTAGTATAAAGAGGAAAGATTTGATTTTTTGTTTCTTTGAATGGAATCTCCGCTGAAACCACCGGGCCGATTTGAAAAATTCTTTTGCCTTTGGAATTCTACATTATCGATGATGATATGTTCATCAAAAATCAAATCTTTCCTCTACAATTAATAAAATATAAAAAAGGAAACATGCAAAAATTTAGATATTTTAAAACCTCCTTATATTGCCTAAGCCTTTGACTGCCAATAGAAACCTATTTTAAGGACTAATAATAGTATTTAGCTGCATCAGAATCTGAGATTTTAAAGAAAAAATACGAATTCAGTTAACTGAGTATATTTTATTCATGGCCTAGATTCTGCCCACGGTTTCGCTCGCGCTCTTTTAAAGTATCGCCATTTGCCAGAAGTCATTATTATACGCGGACGAAATCGCGGCGAACAGCTAGTATATTTATAAACAAATATGACACGGTAACAAATTTTAATTGTAATCGTCAAATGCTGAAAGAGATGACAAGCATTCATATTTTAGGAATCTGAGTTGAATTATTTTGCTTTGTCCAGAATGATAGGCGAAACTAAAAGGAATAGTAGTTACGATGTTATGATAAGAATTTATCTGTAACTTTATGCGTGTATTATCTATATCATCTTTTCAAGACTGTATAAAAAAAACGTCATGACAATTGAACATAATTATTATGTTCAATTGTCATGACGTTTTTGACAACTGAACATAATTATTATGTTCAATTGAACATAATTATATTTAATATAACTTTTTAAAATTAAAATAACATAATTATGTTCAATTGTCATGTACCTATACTTAGTAGACGTGCCTCTTATATATAACATCACGCCTCTTACCCCCAAAGGGGTAGGCAGAGGTGCACATTACAGCATTAAATACTACTGTACCAATGGAACACCCACTTTTCACTATTTACGTTATGAGTCCCATAATAAGGGGTGAGCCTATTGCCATATTCCGGGCACATTTCCAAACTCCGTGCTACTACTGACAATTTTTAAAAACCCCTTTGCACGACCCAGAAATTGAACCTGAGACTTAAATTTGAACCTTGCCTAGCAGTCGCACTTGCGACTACTCACCCAACGAGGCAGTTAGACGTGCCTCTTCAAAATTTGCAGATGTAGATCGATTTTTGACATTATTTATATCGAGATTCAATCAAAAATCAAAATTGTGCCAGAAATTTTGAATTAAGATCGGTCTGGTGTAACCGGCAGTTAAAAACATTTAAATGGATTTATCTGCTTAACATGATTTTAGAGTTTAAATAGGAAAAAAAATTCATTGCATAATATTGTCAGCAACGGAATACTTTCGAAAAATTCGTTCCAATATTGAATAACTGAATCAAATATAAGACATGATTTTTATATTCTAGATGGCTCGGTGCAACTCAAATGGAATCAACTCACGCAAGGAAGGTGTTCCCTTGCTTTGATGAGCCGGAACTTAAAGCGACATTCGTAATTGGGATTGATCGTCCTGCCGACTACCAGCCGTCTTTATCCAATACTGATATTGAAAGGAGAGAAGTTTTGTAAGTCCATACTGATTTTCTTGTATCTAATTAATATTAATATTTGTATTGTACTTTTCATTTGATTCCATATGTAAATAGTAAAAGGGATTACTCCTATTAACACCTTATGGCAGTCTACTATGAGGTTCATCTATAATACATCAGAGGGGTTCGCCATCATCTCGCAGCTCTTAATCTCTCATTATGGCACCCGCGCAAAGTGTGCATATACATGCATGCATATGCCATGTAACGCCAATTGCTACGATTCTAGAGATAGTGACAAATGTATATTCTGCCATTACGGCACGGAGTTATTAACATTCTCCTCAAGTTATTAGTTTTGTTAAGACATTTTCCGTTATAAAACAAACAGTAATTTAAATTTACAGGGCCAATGGCTACATACGAGAGATATTCTACCCGACCCCAAGAATGTCGACCTACTTGGTTGCTTTCCTGATCTCCGAGTTTGAAGCAGCTGCTTCCAGCCTTAATGGGACCAATGAGTTTGGAATATATACCCGACCTGATGCAAAGAATCAGAGTGACTACGCTTTTGATTTCGGCAGGAAAGTTGTGGACGCTTTGAGCAGCTATTTTGGCATAAACTACTACTCCACAAACAGTCATTTGAGGCTCGACCATGTTGCGTTAGTAGATTTTAGTGCTGGTGCTATGGAGAATTGGGGTCTCATTAAATATAGGTAAGACTGTCGTAACACGCTTTTCCAAACACGAAGATATTTTGTGTAAATATCGTACTCTTTTGGATCGGTAGTTTTGTAGAGTGCTCGTAATTACAGCTGCTGACCAAGAACTTATAGGTTCAATGCCTAACTGGAATAAAATACATACTATCGATAAGTTTTCCTGTATACAAACATTCTTAGGAATAGGATGGAGTCTTGCTTGGTCCTGGTGTATGACAACTGACTAAAATTGCTTTCATTTGATAACAGAACTATTAAATTAATGACATACTTATTAAAGGGAGGATAGTCAGAAAAAATTCACCACCATCTAAATCTATTTTAGAGAATCCCTGCTTCTATACGTTCCTGGTCAGTCCACACCGTACTTCAAATACCGAGTGGCACAAATCGTGGCCCATGAAACCACACACATGTGGTTCGGAAACCTGGTGACTTGTCATTGGTGGAGTAACACCTGGCTAAACGAGGGCTTCGCTAATTATTTCCAGGACTACATCACTTCATTTGTAAGTATTGATACCCTTACTACCCCTAAACGGTTTCTGAAGGGTAAATGGCAATTGCTTTATGTAAAATATTGACATTCTTTGAATCTGCCAGGAGAAAGTAAAGTTATAAAATCTAAGACAGCATATACTGCAAATTATAATAGTTCGTAATCCCTTAGAATTAAAGTATAACTTCCTTTACAGGTGGATCCTTCCGTTGGAGCAGGGAACCAGCTAGTCATAGGATCTGTCTACAGTGCATACGATGCTGACAACAGTCCAACTTCACCACCAATCACGAACAACGCCGTCAACTCTCCTTCGGAAATAAGCGGCCATTTTGGAACCGTCACCTATCAAAAAGCTGGTTCTGTAATCCGTATGATGCACCATCTTATCCAGGACGAGGCATTCAGATATGGACTTAATTACTATTTAACTCTTAAGTAAGATTTTTGTTGAAATATTTTCTTTTCGTTAATAGCGTTTGTGCTATTTCACTTGTTTTTTTTTAATTAAAATTTTTGTACTATTTGTCATACCTCTTTTTCAACAGCTCGTTCAATTCTGGTTACCCAGATAAGTTGTATGAAGGTCTTCATCAAGGAGTGCAGCGATATAATGCATTGTCACCTTTCCCTAATCATAATATTTCTGATATTATGAATTCTTGGATCTCACAGGCTGGTCACCCTGTGGTGAAAGTGACCATTGACTACAGTACAGAAATTGTTACTTTGACCCAAGTACGTATACACAGTTTTGTTTTTTTACTTTGCAATAATCAACTTGAACTGTCATTATAGCGTCTCTGCATAGCCCAAAGGTAGAATTAGTAGAGAAAATTTGAAAAAAAGAACTTACGATGCGACGTTTAAAATGTCATTGATTATCGACAAGGTCATTGAAGTACCCCCAAATGAAATAACCACTTTATGTACCGGCAAATAATTGCCTTTGGTTTTTTTCTAAATTCAAGAAGTAGGTACTTAAAATATTAACTAAAATCGTTGGTTACTCACGTGAATATACTGAGAAAAGCTAACCGTCGCATCGTATTTAGTATATTTCACGATAGTTAAGTACTTCACTATCAAAAATCACCAACCCGCATTGAGCAAGCGTGGTGATTAATGCTCAAAACCTTCTCCATGTGAGAAGAGGCTTTGTTCAGCAGTGGGTATTTTATAGGCTGTTGATGATGATGATGACTTCACTATCACTACATAGTATAAAACAAAGTCGCTATCCGCCGTCTGTCTGTCCCTATGTATGCTTAGATCTTTAAAACTACGCAACGGAATTTAATGCGGTTTTCTTTAATAGATAGAGTGATTCTTAAGGAAGGTTTATAAGTATAATACATGCATTTTGCACCCGTGTGAAGCCGGTAAGGGTCGTTAGTAGTCGCGGAGAACCTAACGGGTAACCGGGGCTCCGGCTCGACGTGCAGGAGAAGGAACGGGGTGGTTTTTAGTGAGTAAGAGTCTGACACTCCTTTCCGCCTCACTCAGGTGGGAGCAGTCATACGATGATTTTCCCCCCTTAAAAAAAAGGGTCGTTGGTAAAATATATTATGGTTTTATTATTTTCCAGAAACGCTACTATGTGAACTCATCTATATCATCGAATGAGACGTACAAGATCCCCATCACTTACACCACACAAAGGGCACCAGACTTCGAAAATACTAGACCAGCATTTATTTTGGAGGACCAGACATTGACATTCATGATTTTTAACATTAGTAGGGAACATAGTTGGGTCATATTTAATCTGCAAGAAACAGGTCAGTGGAAAGATAAAAATGTTTTTGTTTTTTTTTATAAGGTACAATACGGTATTTGACAACTAGTCAAGTTTAATACTTTTTTCGAACTGTGAACAACGTCAGTTTTCTGTGAATTTTATACGAAACTAGCTTCTGCCCGCGACTTCGTACGCGTAATCCCATTTTTTCCTGTCCCCGTTCGTGATTTTCGGTAAAAAGTAAAAAAAAAAATTGGTTAAAAAGTATTCTATGTCGGTCTCCTGGCTCTAAGTTACCTCCCTACCAATTTTCAGCCAAATCTATTCTGCCATTCTTGAGTTATAAGTGGTGTAACTAACACGACTTTCTTTTATATATATTATATAGATTGTGAATTGCGACGTCACGGGCGTCAAACAGCGAACTTATTTCTTAAGAATTTGCTAGAAACATACTATTAAGTTGGTCATAAAATCAATTAATGAAAGTTTAATATTTTATTGTATCCAACAGTTGAAATAATTTATTTTTGATTAAGGGAAAGTAGGTACTCAATTTTATAGAACGTCTCCTATTTTATCTAATATTCTAAATTTTACTAGAATACAAAGTCATTAAGAATGAGTTTTCATATTTTTGTATTATCATAGCACTATAGCAATTATAATTATTGTTATTTGAAATTTATCTGTGATATTTGTTACCAGGTTTATACAGAGTCAACTATGACGACCACTCATGGAGTATTATAATATCAGCTTTGAAAGGAAACGAAAGCGCAATCATACATCCACTGAATCGTGCTAAGGTAACAAAAATTTTGTATATTTTATTTTAAAAACTAAATCAAATAAAGGAACTTGTGAGAATAGTTTCAAAACTAGTTAAAACCTGACTTACGTGTGATTACCATGAAAGTCATCCCATACCATACACCAGTCGCGGAGAACCTAACGGGTAACCGGGGCTCCGGCTCGACGTGCAGGAGAAGGAACGGGGTGGTTTTTAGTCAGTAAGAGTCTGACACTCCCTCCCGCCTCACCCAGGCGGGAGCAGTCATTCGATGATTTTCCCCACTTAAAAAAAAATACCATACACCAACCTCTCCGAACATCCAATGGATATAAATTCTATCTAAGTTTCCTGTCTAATATTTATGAGTACATTTAATTCTAAAGCCTAGTGACTCGACCCCAAACCATTGCAAAGGTTTTGTGGGGCTTAAATTATAACATACTTAGCTGTGTGATTTAAAGATAAATAAATAATTATAAAAATAAATAACTCGTTGGCCGAGTGGTCGCAAGTGCGACTGCCGGGCAAGCGGTCTCGGGTTCGATTCCCGGGTCGGGCAAAGTACTGCTGGGGTTTTTAAAAATTGTCAGTAGTAGCACGGAGTCTGGAATTGTGCCCAGTATATAGCAATAGGCTCACCCCTATTACATGGGACTCATAACATAACTAGTGAAAAGTGGGTGTTACATTGTACAGTGGCATTAAGTGCCGAAATGTGCACCTCTGCCTACCCCTTCGGTGATAAAAAGGCGTGATGTTATGTTTATGTTTTTTTTTCAGATTATAAACGATCTCTTCGCTCTGGTTTATGCTGATGAGGTTCCGTTCTCAACGCTCTCCAGTGCTCTAGACTACCTACCATTAGAACCTGAATACACTGGCTGGTTTGCAGCATTGAGAGGATTCAGTAAAATATGGCATTTCTACTTAGGAGATAATGAAGTGCTACCACATGTTGAGGTAAGAAGATAGAGTAAACTGAGATGTATACTCATTGTCAGTTGTTTATTGGGCATTTACGTTATAAACAAAAATATTAGGATTCATTGCTGTTAAAATTAAATAATTATAAGGTATCGAAATCACCATGTTCAACGAAACTTTAAGTTACTTGAATTCCATTAGTATATTAATCTAGTCAACACCATTTACTGCCTTTCTCAGTTTAGAAGAATATCTGTGGCATTACGCCTTTGTTAATATTTGTGCTAGTGTGTATAAAACATACATAAACCAGTAATCATTATTTAATATCATTTCAGCATTTTATACTGCAGCACTTGGAGTCTGGTATATCAAGATTAGGTTACGAAGAAAGGTCCACCGACAGTCTTGAAGACCAGAGGAATCGCATGCAGATCCTGGAGTTTGCTTGCAAATTGGAGCATACTGGATGTGTAGAGAGGACTGTTGAGCTATTCAGGGCTTTGAGACAAAATGGCACCGAGTAAGTATACCTAAATACGCTTATAACCATAAAACAGATAAAATAATATTATATCTTAATTTTTAAAAAATGTTCTTGTTGTTAGCGTGCCCATTTCAATCAAGAATAGATTTGTGTAAAGAAATAACTATGAATGCTCTAACAATTGACTGGGAATCGGATATTGAAGTAACTTTTGCTGTACCACAAAGGCTCGTTTAGTCTTTGTTAGTTGAGTTGTTTGTTCGTTAGTTGAGTGAGTGACCCTTTTAGCATAGGCATGTTGTCAGCGTCTCTCTTCTAATTCTTCTGTTTTAATTTTTCAACTCTTATATTTTTATTACTTCCAATGCACACCCTTATTGTCTTTTTATATTTTACTTACGCTGCATCGTGCCTGGTGCTGAATAAATGTTTTTTCTTTCTTTCTTTCTCCTTAGTATTTCTTCTTTTCAGATTTCTCGGATAATAATGGAATATTTTTATTTCTTAATCGTTTTTCGAATCCTGAACCTCATCCACGTCTTTGTTTCCAGGGTTGCACCAAGCTTGCGTCCCGTGGTATATTGCACTGGTCTTCGTCATGGATCTGCCGAAGACTACGACTTCCTCTGGAACCGTATGGTGAACACCAATTTGGCGAATGAGGTCTGGGTCATTGGAGATGCCTTAGGATGCACTTCCGATGAAAGCAGGATAAGAAGGTATAAAATTCTTGTTCTTTTTTGGTATCGTCATATTCATATCATCTTAAGTGTGGGAGAGCCATACTTCGGCACGAATGTGTTTCGTCGTGTGACTGAGGTTACCGGAGGTCCAATTACCCCTTTCCCCAGTCTCTCCAGTTCCCGAATCCCCCACAATCCTCAAATTCCTAATTCCCAAAAGGCCTGTAACGCACTTGTAACGCCTCTAGTTTTTCGGGTGTCCATGGGCGACGCCGATTGCTTACCATCAAGTGATCCGTCTGCCAGGTTACCGGCTTATACCATAAAAAAAAATATATTTCCTTTAGTACCAAAACAGGGCAAGTTTAAGAAAAAGTGTATGTTCTAATATGTACATATTTACTGCTCAAATTAAAAATTAGTGCAGTACAGTAGGTGCAATACAATGAAGACCAGTGCTTAACCAGATCATGATTTATTTGTATATGAATAATTATGTTGCATGTAAAATTATAATTAAAAGCAAGTAAAATCTTAGCAATTCGAAAGAATAACTATGACCTTTATTTATCTATTTTATGAGTATATTGTTAATTACCTTTTTACAGCTACCTGGTATCAATGACATTAGAAAACAGTCCTATAAAGACTCAAGACTTGACGGTTCCATTGGCGAGTGTCCTCAGGGCGTATGGCAACCTGCACATCGTTATGGATTCTTTGAAATCGAATTATACATTGTGGAGCTCTATGTAAGTATATATAATTCATAATTTTATTTCGTAACAACAATAGAGTACATACGTTTTTTGGTTTAGTTCGAAATAGAGAACAATTCCCATAAAATATTGTGGTTCTTCTACAGACGCGCAACAGCATTGGATATTTTAAAAATAATTTATACCTTTAATTTGTTTTTATGACGTTAATGCTAATAAATGTGGTATTTTTTATTTTCAGATACCCGTCAATGGACACTGTTTTGAATACAGTTGCATCTGCTCTTCACACTGAAGCTGATTTTAATGAGGTATGTTTTTTAATGTACTTATTATAAGTATGCTAAATATTTTCTCGTTGACCAGTGAGGTTATAAAAAAACTGTGGTTGTAATTTCAAAGTAAGGTTTAAACCGTCAAACATCGCGAGGGCACCGGTGACCGCAACCTATTGTTCTTTAATTGTGTCTATAATGACGGTACTCAAAGGGTTAAGATGCCGATTAAATATATCATCTCCTATAAATTAAATCATAGCAAGAAGCAACACAACATCATCAAAAATGTTCGATATTATCAGATCAGGCGCAAAAACGTAAAGTTGTAAAAAATTGTGGCTAAAAGAAAAAATAAATAAAATTATTGTTGTCTGCCGTCTTGATGTGAACCTAGGTATTTTAAATTTCGTCCTATTATTTAACACATCCAAATAATTACACAATGATACAAAACATAAATTGCAAATCTAATTTAATCTGTCAAACACCAAGCGGTCACCGGTGACCGCGACCTATTGTTCTTTAATTGTGTCTATAAAACCGGTACTCAGCGAGTTAATACCCAAAGAAGTATCATTTTCCTTCTACGCAGCAAAAACAAAGCAAAGCTGAAAAAACGGCAAAAATATTCCGCAGTCCCTAATCGCTGAATCGCTTTGAAACGTAAACATGAGAATGACCTTTTAGTGGGGGCCGGCCTAATTGAGGTCCCGGCGACCCAAATGAGTGTTTATCAAACACTACACACTCAAGGGCTGTACACACTCATTACCTGACACAACCAGGTCGATGTGTTTGTCAAACATTGTGTCAATTTCATCGAAAAGGTCTAATGATGGTGTTTTTGCCAATGTCTTCAGTATTTCTCGATGTTTACTACGATACTGTCAATATGTTCTGTTCCAAAACGTAGGTACTTCAAAATAAACGCGGTCAATGAGAGAAACTGACGTTTCAGCTTTTTCAATTTAATTAACAGTGCCTACCCATGTGTTAAAACTTATAATGGACTACATTCTTGATGACTTGGAAGTATTAAGATCCAATATCTAGGAATAATAATAAACCTATATTTAACGTATTGTTTAATCGCAATTCAAATCACTCTGTGGTGTTAGTACTGTGAAGTGCCATTAATAATTATTTTCACATTTTTTTTTAAACTTTGCCCCAAACCAGGATTTTTTTCTGTGTCGTGGGTGCGTTTACAAACATACAAGTTCACATACATATGACACCCAAACCCGGAACAACAACCTGTGGATCACACAAAGAGTTGTTCCGCGCGGAAAAGGAACCCGCGACACATTGCACGGCAGCCAGTTGCCCAACCACCACGCCAACCGTGCAGTCAATTATTTGAAATTACTGTCGTCAGCCTTTTCATAAATTCACTACAACTGAAATACTGAACAAACTCTACAAACATACTTAATGCATTTGCATTTAAAAATCATAAACAATGTGCTTCACATCCGTCCACAGTTCCACACATTCACTTTTACCCAACATTTGATTTTAATTCCACCGTTACCACATTGCAATAAAGATCACAATCCTATTTCAAGTTACAAGAATGACGGTTGATAGTATTTTGAGTAGTTAGTCACATCATTCATTGTAATGGATTTCCCATTATTAAATGAATGTTCTAACCCAAATTGAAAATCGCTTCGTTGGATGGCTCGAGTGAAAGTCTTCACTCACTTGGCATTCATCCAACTAGGAAGTTTAAAGATATATTATGACGTAATTTTATCTGTAGCGACTGTGATTATGTATTCAAAAATATACTACATTCATATAAAAATAGCTAGCTCTTGAAAATTACAGTTTTTAAGCAGTTTTCTTATAGGAGGTTATGAACGGTTATTTTTATTGATCTTGTTAATATCATGGTATAAAAGCAACTTGTGATATTTTTAGGAATTTATTTATAGAAACTAAATAGATATTTTTAGTCTAGACTACAGAATATCTGGATTTAAGTGTCCAGTTGTAGTCCAACAAGGCAAACGTAACATGTAATAAATTAAATTGTATGAATGCTATTAACCTTCATTAGATTGTTTTAGCACAAGATAATTGGTTTAACCTTGCACATTAAATGACATCACGAAGTTAGGATACACAATTATCATCATGCCTTAGATAACATGTACGAATTTTGCATAAAATTGTTAAGATTTTTAGTGTAGTTGTATGTTGATATATTTTGGAAACTATTAAGATCGTTTCATCGACCATAATTATATGCTTGTGGGGTATTATAACAGTACGTAGTTGGTCACTACGTAGCCACTAGCCGGTGCTAATGGCCGTAATTAATAGGTTTTTGACAGAAATTCAATATAGCTGATATCAAAAATGTATCCCAGACCATATATTTTGTATTCTTTGGACTACTAGACACAGTTTTGCATTAATCATAACATTATTATTATGTACTTACTTATAGTAACGATTTTTTCTATTTCTGTCCAGTTCGAAACCTTCCTGTCTGAGTGTACCGTCTGCACAGAAGCCACGAAGACCTCTGGCCGTAATGCTCTGGTGCAGGCAAGAGCCGCCACAGCTTGGGCAAACAGCCATAAAGCAGACATATTGAAAGTGATCAGAAGTGATTCCATCATGGCGGCCCCATCTGTCATTGTAATGATATTAGGGCTGGCCATACTCATTTTTAAAGAGTTGTAATTATTGTGATAATAATTGTTATAATTTTGAAATATGTATTTGTATTCTTTTCATCGTGTATTTTTATGAAATTTGACTTTTTATGTTTAAATCTGGGTGTGAATTAAAATATCTATAAATTATTACAGAAATTAGGTACTACGTAATGGTAACGTATTGAATTAGTTATTGTTTTTTAATATGTTTGTATCTATTGTTTATAGTATTTATGAGCGATTCGATGGCAGGAAGCACCAAAATGTTCAGTATATTAAGTAAGATTTTCTATAATCATATTTACGTTATTTTAATATATCAATTATACACTTAATTTTAAGTAAACGAAGAGATCCTTCTCCACTATAATGTATACGTAAATGAAAGATAAATCGTACTTGTAAAATAATGTACATATTGTAAAGTAATGAAGTTATAAATTAATGAAATTGTTGTTTATTTTATTATTACAATGCAGTTTGAAGTTTATTACTGTTTCATTTACTCTGAATTTTCCTTGAGATAGGCAACAGAGAAGGATTATAGTGTACTTAACTATACATATGTTACTATAATACATGTAGTACAATATATGCAATTTAAATAGATTAGGCAATCTACATCCAACTTGTGATCAACAATACATTTTAATAAAAAAATATTAGTTGAAAAAACTAACATAGGTACACAAATAAAAGAGATAATTTCAATTCAATAATTTATCGACATCAAAATTAAACAGAGGAACAACACTATTTCTTCACAGTATAAAAATAGACGCATCAAAATCCCTAAAATTACCTTTCCTACATTTTATTACTGATTTTACGTGAGCAGAGCCACATTAACGGCTCAATTTATATGTTGTTACCAAAATTATCTTGTATTATTTTAATCTTTAACAGATATAAATCTTAAAATATGACCTCCTTAAGTAATTTGTACCTAAATATTGCAATAGTGATGGGCGTATGATAAAATATTTTTATACTAAGCGTGTAGAAAATATAAAAACACATACGTTAAATAAGTGTGTAGTAATACGTTTTTTAAGTGTGGGTAGGTAAGCCAGGCTTCACCATGAATGGGCCGGCTCGACCGAAGTGATACCACGACCTCACAAAAACCGACGTGAAACGTTACGTTGTGTTTTTTCGTGTGAGTGAGGTTTCAATTATCTCCCCCCCCCCCCCAATCTTCCCTATCCCTGAATTCCCAACAATCCTTAAATTCCTGATGCAGTAACGCACTTGTAGTGTCACTGGTGTACCGAGTATCCATGGGCGGCGTCAATTGCTAACCATCAGGTGATTCGTCGTCTAACTCTATAAAAAAATCTATTGGTTATCCTATCTATAAATAAGGAAGAGTAAATTATATTTGATTTTTTAAGTCATTTACATAGAAAAACAAAATAAAAATAATTTTCATTGTTTAAATTAATGTTGATGAAAGAAATTATTGCTCAATTCTAACTCTCTTTTGTTGGGAAAAGGTATAAAGCTAAGATCTTTTCTAACAAAATAAATAAATTGTTTGCCCAATCACATAGGTAAGTAGAGTAGCTTTATTTACATAACAGACACTGATAGACATAATTCATAGATCCTTAAACATTTTAACAAAAATAATTTTTAAACAACCAACCAATAAAATTCTTAAAAAAAATATATCTTTTTTTTGTACACAAAGCAGCTATATTAACACATGGAAGTAAACGTGGGTGGTTAATCTGTATGGAATAGTTGCTAAGTGCGTCCAGCCCACACATCGGTCGCTTCCAGTCTTCCAGATCAATTGTCTTCGTTCACCGTTACTCTATTGTTAGGTGTAAGAACATTTTTACAATATCCGATACGACATCGGACAGTGACACGATATCGGGGCAAGCAAAATGTACCGACTGCATGGTTGGTGTGGTCGATGCGCAACCGGCTGCCGTGCAACGTGTCGCGGGTTCGATTCCCGCACGGAACAATACTTTGTGTGATCCACAAATTGTTGTTTCGGGTCTGGGTGTCATGTGTATGGGAACTTGTATGTCTGTAAACGCACACGACACAGGAGAAAATCCTAGTGTGGAGCAATGTTTAAAAAAAAAGTAGGTAATCCGATATCAGGGCAAGCAAAATGTGTAATAGGTATTTAAATTTATCTGTATTTTACGCTATTCAATATTGGATATAGGATATAGGATCCAACTCTGACATAAATCATTATTATAACCTAGCTTCTGCCAGCACACTCGCCCCCTTTCCGGGGGTAAGAGTAGCCCATGTGTTACTCCAGACCATAAGCTACCTTTGTTCCAAATTTCATCCCAATCCCTTCAGCCTGTGGGTAACTAAACATTCGACAAACTTATATTTGCGGCTGGTACAGTAACTATGTCTAAGGATTGAGCCGCACAATTAAGTTTGTTTTTCTTGTATATACTTTTTCGGCATAAATAGTACTCAGTGTTGTGTAACAGTAAAGTAAAAAGTAGACAGACAGGCAGACAGAACATTTTTTTAATCACATTTTTGGGTTCTGTATCTATCTAGTAGGTTCTATTTATTTTTTTAAATATTTTTAATGTACAGAATTAACACTACTACATTATTTTTTTACACGACTTCTCACATTATGTAAATAAATTTTGTCTCTGCATCTAACCTCTCAGTAAATGAGATTATCGGGCTATCTTTATCATTGTTCATACGGGAAATGGGTCAAACCGGTCGGTTTCTTGGATTGGCTATCGATATCCGATTCGATATCGGATCGGATAATGTAAAAACGCTCATAATGCTCTGATACATGAATTAGGGCGTGGGCATACTAGGACACGGAATTTGATTTATTTTCTAATGTGTTGTGCGGTAAATTGCCTGTTGAGTTACATTCTTTAGCAATTTTAGTGAACAATGCGTTCGTTTTGGTCCGCTCTTTATGTCAGGTCGATTGTTTAATGATGTGTGAAATTGCATTAAACAGCCTTTTCACATTATACTGCGAAGTATAAAATATAAAAGTAAAGTGTTAACATAAAATAATAATGTAATGGTTTAAAATAAAATAATGCACTGTTCTGTTAATAATTTGATAAATATGAGACATATAAAAGGCTAAATGCAAAATTATATAGATTAAATAACTAAGTATTATGATTATGACCCACTCGTACAATACCTAGTATCTTTTCTCAAACTCATTTTCCAAGAATATTATTTTGGCAAACATAATTATCATTTTAGCAAAAGTAAACAATATTATCATAGTCCAAAAATATGCTTCAAAAGAAACCGTACTGAATTCATACTTGAAGGTACACCATATGCACAAACATAAATATGCCGCACATCCAATAAGCGAAGATCTGTGACATTATATTAAAATCCCCTCAGAAGCCCAAGTGATATGAGATGTTGAAGAGGTAGGGAAGGTCAAGAAATACTGGTTTGTTGTGAGCCGGCGCCCAGACTATGAAGAGGAACAACACTACTACAAGCATTTACGCGCGCGTCGCGTTCAGACGTGTTCCACGTAAAACGCTCTCTTTGGCGCGAAATTCGAAAAACGAACTATGAATTAAAAAATAGGTTTTAATATTTTTAAGAACATAAATGCTAACTATACCTGGCTGAATGTAAACTGTGAATAAAAAAATAAAAATGGCGAGTGAAAAAATATTTCGCGCGTTTTTTATTTTCTGTTTATTTTCGTTGACAAAAGGAAATATAGTGGTGGACGAAGAATGTTTGAATTATACAGTGTATCCAGTGCAATATGAACTAAATATTTACCCTTATATTTATCCCCACCGTGCTTATTACGATTGTGAATTAACAATTACTATAATAGCGAATGCGCCTAATGTGAACGTCATTGAGTTAGACGCGAAGGATTTAGAATTTGAAAGTGGTTCGATAAAGGTTTATGATGGGCCACGGGACATAATAAATGTTGCCAGGCCTTTCGAATACAATTATTTAACGAGTAAACTACATATTTATTTGAATGAACCGTTGAAAGTGTATCAAGTGAATGACAGACATTTTTATTTTATTAAAATTTCGTTTAGAAAACAAGTGAATAAAGACAGTACGGGTGTGTTTTTGGCGAAATATTATGATGAACGGAGTGAACAAGATAAGTAAGTATTAGAGTTTAGTATTTTTTTTCTAGGTTTCGTACTAAAATGACAACGGAAATTCTTGTCTCCTTGTAAACACAAAAAAGGAAATCCTGCTGTTGAGGCATAAATAATAATCCTCCTACGTACTACACCTTTACGTGACATAATATCGGAATACGAGGTCGTAAAATAAGTCTTATGATAATCGTGGATTTATTAAAGGACAGTTCTTGTCTTATTTCTGATGTCTTTTAATTGTAATATGTTATAATAGGTTTCCGTTTATTTATTTTGAAATAATTAGTATCTAGACACCTAATTCATAAGTTTGCCATACATATACCGGGCACAATTCCAGACCTCGTGCTACTTTTGAGATTTTTTTTAAAACTCAGTATTTTTTGCCTAACCCGGAATATAACCCGAGACCCCTTGCTCGGCAGTCGCACTTGCCAATCTCGGCAGTCGGCCAATAAGAGAGCCAGTAAAAATATTAGCCTCTAATCACAGTCTGTTGACCATATTATACTATACTATTGTTCATACATTCAATTGTCCGTTTTAATAGGTTGTTTTACTCGTAATATCACTTAGCAATGCGCTAATACGATGATGCCAGCTAATTTGAATGATGCATACTTTTTGCTACATGAGCCGTTGTTATGCAAACTTTTTGCTGTTTTTAGACTGTACTTAGTTTTTTTTCTTTCAAATTTTTTTCGTTTTTTTATTTAATATTTCAAATTGTTTTATTGTTCTACCTCTATATTAAAAATATACTTTTAATATTATTTACTTAAGCGTTTCAACATTCTTATTACTAATTCAGCTTATGTTGTAGTTTAGAGAAAACCTATGATGCTAGGCATTGTATCTGTTTCTACAACGCGTTCTATCAAATCCTAAACACACAAATAGGTCTAATTTATTATAAACAAAGCTCTCATTATGACACAATGTTTATTATTAAATAAACGGTCTTGAAGCTTTAGGTCAGTCAGGTCAATGGCGGATCGAAATAGTGCTCCTAAGATAACATTATGAGTAATTAGTACATTAGTCACACTTTGGTTTGTTTTGCCAATTGTTTATCTTTATCTTGTTTATCGGTAGTCAACTAAGGAATTACAGCTTCAGTTTTTAGGATGAGCAAGAAAACATGAGGTCTTTTGGTTTTTGCATGAAATTTATTATAGCATTTAGCGTGGGGTCTGAATTTTTTTTAAGGTTTAACTGGCGAGTAGTCGATGTAGTATTTGGGATAGGTTGTCTCATTTTTCAATGGGAAAATGTATCGCACTTTTACCTGGTGTTTCTCCTCCTCCTCCTGTGATGTTGGATCGCTAATCATCAGACGAAATTGCCTTTTCAGCGATGAGCGATTTTGCCTTTTCAGAAAAAAATGTCTTTCTATTTTGCTAAGTATGTTAAGGACATACCCGCATTGAATGCGAATGAGATCACCTTTTTGTGTTTAAGTTCAATATTAAAACAACAACAATGAATAAAAGTGATAGGTAACTAAATAGTTACGAAAACAACGTGTGGTATATTATTGTTTGTCTGCAAACAAATGGGGATGATGACAGGGTATGAAAATTAAAAATATAATTAGTCCGTAAGTTAGGTAATGAAAAAATATTAGACACGTATTTTTTTATTTTGTCGTATAATAAAACAATACTTAGACAAAACGAATCAAAGTTTAGGAGTGGGGGCTTAAACGTCATTCCTTAGTATAAAATGTACTGAGAAGTGACGTCACGCGACATTTCAAATCAATATATCTTCGAAACTATTCGTTTCTGTGAGAAAATAAAAAATACGTGTCTAATGTTTTGAAATAATCTACCAGACGGACATTAAAATAAAAATTAGTCGTCTACCCCATTGTCTGTATTTTAAGCAATACATATTTTACCCCCCCCCCCCCCCCCCGTCCCCACGGCGTAGGAAGTCCATGAAGAATTCCATCGCGTTATTTAAAAAAAAGTTTGTTAAAAAAATATTAGAACTTCCATTATTGATTTAATGTAATTAACCCAGTTTGCATTTTTATCCATTTAATTTATTAAAATCAAATAAGTTAAAGGTAATATTGTGAAAGGTTCGACTAGAACCTATTTCCGAAGTATATAGCACAATTAGGTAATAGCACAATTGGGTACTTTCCTTAATCAAAAATTAATTAGATCGACTGTTTAATACAATAAAATATCTATTAAAAAATAATCACACTTCCGTTTATTCATTTTATGACCAAATTAATATTAGCATTTCTCCAGCGACTTTTTAAAAGTAAGTAGGTACGCTGTTTGACGCTAAAGAAACGTGACGTAACAATTTACAATCTTCATAGAAAACTGTCGTTTTTGACAGTTCGAAAAAAGGATTGAATTACTTAATGATGATATTATATTATCATTATAATATATTATAATTGAGTAGCCTTTATAGATGCAGATCTAGGGAACTTCACAGCAAAATATAGTTTTGCATATAATAAGTATAAACATCGTCTTTGCCTAATATTTGCGTTCTGCAAAATGTTAGGTACGTCTAAACAGTTTTCAAGAACGCATTCTTTATGACGTCACTCCGGCTGGTGCAAATTTTATTTTGCACAAGTCCGTACAACCTTGGGATGCATTGAATCAGTTCATTCAATTAAATTGACTTTAGTAATTATGTCATCGAGTGTAGGTACTGTACTGAGCCGCTGTCCGTGTAAAATTGTTATTCGTTTATTTTTATTATCATTGGTATTTTTACTCGATTAACCATATATGGAATTTTTGATGACATTAACAATGATTAAAAACATTAATTTCGTCTAAATTCATTGATAATTCTGTTATTAACAGTATCCTTGCCGAAAAAGACAAGTGAAATATTTTTATAAAATTTTATTAGTATTTATTTTCAAAGAATTAGTTGGTATATGAAGTGACTACTGGCCTGTTTAATTCTCTCTAATACTGACTCACTTTATGATGACAATTCTAAAATTATTTTCATTACTGAGTTATAAAATAAATCAAGTGACGAGTCGAAAGTACCTACCTATATTTTAGATTTTATTTTCTATTCTGAATTTCCATTAGTATTTAACTATCTATCTACCACGTAGGTTGTATTCGAATCGGCGAATAAAATAACGTAACAAAGTAAGTTAGATTAATTCTGCACGGACTCCTAAATGTTTATATTAAAACTTTCGTAAGACTTACTAATTAATTATCATGTTTTTGGTTTACTCACATAATTGTTTGACGAGGGACTCGACTACTTTCAAGCTATACTAAGGGCTCATATTCATGAGCAGCATTCCTCGACCCGGCGACGACTGTCGCGTTGCTGATGCGATATAATAATTGACTGAATATTAGCACAAGTTTTATCATAATTAAATAAATAAATAAATAATGTTTAACAGTAAATAAATAATTGTTATGCATCATTACTACACTACAACCTACATAAATACCTGGTCAGTACCATTTGCAAATGACTAGTTTTTATTAAAACTACCTTTATCAACAAAGGCCAAGTACCATATACGACCGACCTTCTCTCCCACGTTTTGTCTAGATACATACAAACAGTATATGGCAAAAAAGCCATAAATATTAAGTATTTTTATTGCTGCGATCTATTAGAACCTCGTGTTGATAAATCTAATTTTTGTATGTAGACATGTACATGTTAAGTTACATAGTTTCCGCTGTGAACTTACATGCATCGATTACATTACACAAACAAACAAACAGATATTGGTAATGAATATAAAAAGTATTTTTTTTAATGTTTATTAACAGTCAACTTTAATTATCATAATTTTTTCCGTATTGTTTTTTAAATTAAGTAAAATCGCGGGTTACTCACGTGAATATACTGAGAAAAGCTCTACTAGTTTCGAACCACAGAGTAAATAACCCGCGATTTTACTTAATTTATTATGTCTCACGATAGTTATTATATTATTTTTTAGTTCATTCGCGTTTTTGGTATTGTTTGACTTTTCTGTTTACTTATATGGGATAAAGTCGTAAGTTTGTATGTGTACTGTTGACAAAGTTTACGGTAGTACACTTAACAAATCACATTCATCAATGGGGTAGACGCCTAATTTTTATTTTAATCTCCGTCTGGTAAATAATTTCAAATCATTAGACACATTTTTATTTTCTTACAAAAACGAATACTTTCGACAATGGATTGATTTGAAATGTCGCGTGACGTCACTTCTATGCACATTTTATACGTAGAAATGACTTTTAGCTCCCACTCCTAAACTTTGATGCGTTTTATCTAAGTATTGTTTTATTGTACGACAAAATAAAAAAAAAAACGCGTCTAATATTTTTTCAGTACCTAATTTACGCACTAATTAGATTTTTGATTTTCATACCCTGTCATCATCCCAATTAGTACACAAAATCCTGTGGCAAACTCGCTATCCACCGGGCCTTTTCCCTTTAGTCGTTTGCCTCGAGTGCGTGCAAATATCGCCTAATGATGATCAACTGCCACCTTTTCGACTATGTACGTATATCTCTATGGTTCATTGAAAGTCTATTTTGCTCTTTAAATAAATCTGATATTTCTTTATCGACAACCATGCTTGCGACCACTCCATCAAAGATACAATAAAAGCTCCATTGTGCGTGATTTTTAAGTGAAATTTGCGTTGGCGTCAAGATATTAACGGTTGTAGTCATTTGATTAAGTTTGATATCGAATATTGATTAACTTTGTTAGTACTTATGTACGTATACCACACAAGAAGATCTCAATTGCTTTCACACCTACATTAATGATAGGTAATAGCTGTAATATTGGATTTGGTTTATGGATTAATGAACTTTTGATTTCTTTCTTTTTTTTATAAAAACTTTGCCCCACACTAGGATTTTCTCCTGTGTGCGTTTACAAACATACATGTTCACATACACATGACACCCAGACCCAGAATAATAATTTGTGGATCAAACAAAGACTTGCTCCGTGCGGGAATCGCCGTCTACTTTCAAATTTTAACTATTTATTGTTACAGTACTTAATAGATGTTTAACTTAATATGTACCTATAAAAATAGTTGTAAATAATTAATAATTATTTTGTTTGAATATCTTACTTATCTACGAGATTAGGTTCTAATAACAAGTCATCTTATATAATGTGCTAAGGGCTCTTTTGAAAAATGATACCTACAATAATTAAATACGTTTAGTATTTGCTATTTACCTAGTTCATTTATAGGCCTTTGTCACGCAAGGTGAAGTTATTTAATGTCCTAAAACTCAATATATGTTTCCTAAAGAGTAGATGATTTTTATATGATAAATGACGCGCAAGAAACTCCATAAAAGTATGAGTGGGTATCTTATTACCATAATTATTATCGAATACTATTAATTCCTCGTGGGTGGTATACTTCTTCGAGCCCTTCGGCGACTAACGCATGCTCTAAGTTTTATGGATACATATTTTTATATAAAGGTACAGTCTGCACGGTTTGAAAATAAATATTAACTTTTTTTATGATATAAACCGGTAAACGAGCAGACGGATCACCTGGTGCTAAGTAATCGGCGTTGACCATGTACATCTGGAACATAAGAGGCGTTGCAAGTGCGTTACTGGCCTTTTAGGATTAGGAATTTGAGGATTGTTAGGGATGCAGGGATTGGGAAAGGGTGGGGGCTAATTGATCCTCCGGTAATCTCACTTACACGAAGATACACAACGCAAGAGTTGTTTTACTATGATTTTCTGTGAGGCCGTGGTGTCACTCCGGTCGAGCCGGTGCATTCGTGCCGAAGCATGGCTCTCCCACACTACAGTACAGAGACAGTCACTATATGTTTAATTTAGTTATTTAGTATAACAACAGCTAATGTATGTGTACTGAGTCAATCTTTATTTTCGTACCTGCAAACTTAATAACTATGTAGACTGTACCTAGTGTCGCGGAGAACCTAACGGGTAACCGGGGTCCAGCTCGACGTGCAGGAGAAGGTACGGGGTGGTTTTTAGTCAGTAAGAGTCTGACACTCCCTCCCGCCTCACCCAGGCTGGAGGCGAAAAAAAAAGACTGTAGGTACCTAGAAATCATTCATCACACTAGCTTATAATCTTAAGATCCTCATTCAACCTAATTTTAGTATATTTGTCAGTTTTTTCCTCCTACAACACACTAAAATTGATATTGGTTAGCTATCAGAAGTAAAATCAATCTTAAGCCTGCGTTTAGAAGGTACATTTAAGATTGCATGCGTTTAAGGTAGAGTTTTGCAGCTTAACAAGCATGTAGGCTAAATAATTCGTCTGCCCGGTGTCTCGGTTCGTTAGTCATAACAAATGGGACATATGCCGAGTTACTGACATTATTAGATATACGTATAATTCTTGAAATGTCTGTGTTTTAAGTCAGTTCAGTCAGTCAGAGTCAAGTTCAAAGTCTATTCCGTCATGTTAAGGTTTTAATCATAATCCGTCAGTTTGATGATGAAAAGTTAGGCACGTTTTTTTTAGTTATATTAACTCGTCGAGTACCGGTTTTATAGACACAATAAAAGAACAATAGGTCGCGGTCACCGGTGACCGCTTGGTGTTTGACAGTTTAAGGCAGATATTTATACAAAAATTTAATACACTCTGGTTTTACTCAATATTAAAGCCAATACTATACGCAAATCGAAATTAATCAAATACTTTTACTTTGAAAGAAAAGTGGTTCTTAGATATATCTAATAATACATTATATTTCATTAAAAAAATAACCTACATTAGAAACATGCGGTATCTCTCATATTGTTTAGACGCACTACAGCGTACCCACAATTACTTCCTGACGACGCGTGACCTTGGTTCATATCTTGTGCAAGTTAGTTTTTTTGTTCCTACAATTTGTTAGTCGCCTGATAATGTGAGACAAATGTCTTTAAATTGCTTTGTTAGTTGAGAATTTACTATTGTGACTGCCCAGCAAGAGGTCTTGGGGTTCCATCCATTCCATGGGTCATTCCTTATTAGTATGCCTCTTGTAGCATTTTTAATAATTGACAAGCAAAACAATAGTATACTATAATAGTATAAGTTCTCCTTCCAAAATTCTTGTCCAGTGGGCACAGGCAAACCTACTGTTTAGCAGAGGGGCTTTTGGGCAGCAGTTAAAACTACTTTTTTGTAAAATTTCTTTATCAGATTTTCAACTCTATCGTTTGGACATAAAGTCTAAAATCCAATGACAAAAATTTACACATTGAAGTAGGCTCATGTGCAGGCCATTGTAATGTGATGTATGTACATGAGAAGTAAAAGCACAAAGACACAGATTTTTTTGAGCGGGAAATGTCATCGAATGTTTTCTCCCGCCTAAATGAGGCAACAAGGAGTGTCAGACTCTTACTGACTAAAAACCACCCCGTTCCTACTCCTACACTTCGAGCCGGAGCTCTGGCAACCAGTTAAGTCCTCCACGGAAAAAGATACGGATAATATTGTAAAAATGCGGGTAAATATCACTATATATAGAATACGTACAGTAATTTCTATATGTTTTTTTTATCTCGCAATCCAAGAGTAAGTAGGTGAGTGAGCCACTCTGAATTAAAACAATCACCAGACGAAAATATTTATTCTCTCAGTTTTTACCTATAGGTTTAATGTAATAGGGGGTACCTAAGCGTGTTGCCGTATACCGAACACAATTCCAGAAGCTATGATATTACTGATATTTTTTTAAAACAATACTTTGCCCGAGACCCCTTACTCAGCAGTCGCGCTTGCGAGCACTTGGCCAAGAAAGTACTAATGAATGTATTTACCTCTAAAACTAGCTTCTGCCCGCGACTTCGTACGCGCAATTCCATTTCCCCCCCGGTCCCGTTCGTGATTTTTGGTAAAAGTAAAAAAAAAATTAAATAAAAAGTATCCTATGTCCGTCTCCTGCTTCTAAGCTACCTCCCCGCCAATTTACATCCAAATCCATTTAGTCGTTCTTGAGGTATAAATAGTGTAACTAACACGACTTTCTGTTATACATATATATAGATGATAAGTGATGTGCAACACATGAAGTAGTTACTATGTATGATACAAAACTTATTATGAGAAACTAATCCTTTTTGTCTTTCCATTACAGATACTTATTCACAACGAGATTGTCTCCGAACAAAGCGAAGTACTTCTTCCCATGTTTCGAGAACCCTCGATTCGAAGCAGTGTACAAGTTCAAGGTGTACATCGTGAAACAACTTCCAGAGCTGCAATATACCAACACAAGTCTTGTTATAGCTGAAGAACAGAGAAGAGACGGGTAAGTTTCGTTAAATAGTATTTTAACCTTTTTACATGTTATTTATGTGTGTGTCTTTCACTGGGTTTTGGTGTTACATTGTTTTCGCACTATCAAACCAATAAAACCATGTAACTAGAGAATTGTATTGTGAACCTGATTGAGAAAGTAACCTACATATGTAGTTCCTTTTTCGTTTTTATCCATAGGAATCTACATCTTGAAATGAGCAAATAGCTTCACTTTTATTTTTATTTTTTTTGATGTGCCAAAGTGCCTTCCTGGTCTAATTGAAATATTTGACTTTGAGTTTGTTAAGTAGTTTCTCACATACGCTGATGCTATGCATTTGATATTTGATAGGTTCAAATATGTCCTAGCAATTTCTCTCTTTAAATATATTAAGTATTTTTTTTTTGAGGGCATCGAACCCTATGCTATCTTTGGCTAGCGCATAACTAAGCTATGGACATTCCTTCAAATTAGTTTTGATCGTGTGTCCAGATGGCATTCCATTTAATATTTAGTTTACCATTCCCACAATATACTTGAACGTGATCTTCAATCATAACAATACTCTTAATTCAGCATCTATGTGAATGCATGAAGGCAACATTTGTAAGTACAAAAAATCAATTCCATATTTTATAACGAAGCCCTTTTTAGATCCATTTCTGCTTTCATTCAAATAGTAGGCGCGATCCATCAGTCCTATATTGTAAACCTTACGAGGGTCTATTTATTTATTTATTTGTTTAAGGGCAACCAACAATGCATTCACCAAAATAGGTACATAATAGGTTTAACATTTTACCTTTGTATAGTGTAGCCTTAATTAAAGGCTGCCATGACATGCATTAAACAAAGAACAGGTTATTAAAAAATCACTTATTAAAAATTACATCTTAATAATAGATAAATTTTAATTGTAATAAAACTAAATTTTAATACGAGTAAAATATATAGTGGAGTTTAACTCTGTGAGAGTGTCATACGCAAGACAATTTTCTCCTTAAAAAGAGATTAGCACATGTCAATATCCTCATTAAGTGAGCATGATAGGTGACTAAATTGTTCCTGCATCCTATTTATTGTAGATTATCTATCATTAGCTACATTCATCCTAATTAGACTTCTAGTGGGGACATGCCCCCGAGCGTACGGCGCGTTGCGTTCCACGCGCCACCACAGATAGGGCCCAACAGGGCCTATGCTGATTCGGAGTCACGGAGAACCTAACGGGTAACCGAGGCTCCGGCTCGACGTGCAGGAGAAGGAACGGGGTGGTTTTTAGTCAGTAAGAGTCTGACGCTCCCTTCCGCCTCACCCAGGCGGGAGCAGTCATTCGATGATTTTCCCCCCTTAAAAAAAGTGGGGAGATGCCAAAAATATAATTATACTGGAAGTAATAAATAACTTTCTCATGGAATGAATAGAGCGACGAATACGACTGTAGCAAAAAACTCGTACCAAATTGATGATTGAAGAATAGTCGTCCAGTTTTCCGAAACAACGTTTTCTCTTCACTTCCAACTTGGATGGTGGCTAATCGGAAATAGAAAATATTTTCAACTTTCCTCTTTTTATCGGCTGATTGAGCATTCGATTTGTAGAGTTAGGTCTTACCATTAGCGGTTAGCAATGTTACCTAAGTTAAATCAGTTATTGAAATTGCTATGAATGAGATTTAAACTGACAAACACCGCGAGGACACCGGTGACCGCAACCTATTGTTCTTTAATTGTGTCTATAATGAAGGTACTCAAAAGGTTAATGACACTTAAACAAAGTATACCATGCAATCCTTACCTACCTAGTTATTAATCTTCAAAAAGACAAACCGAGTTGCGCATTTTAAAAGTGGAATGGGTATTCTTGTCCAATCACATTAGCTGTCAAATATAAAAAGTCTAATGGTGTCATACTAGTTAATTCCCTATTGGACGAAGAACGAGAAGAGCACACTAGTGGCATCTGGTGAGAAAAAATACGGTAGTATACATAACCAATGAGGTAGTTAAAACTATATGTATAGAACAACATATTTGAAGCAATTTACATTAGGATTTTCTCCTTTATCGTGGGTGTGTTCACAAACATCAACAAGTTCACATACACATGACACCCAGACCCTAAACAACAATTTGTGGATCACACCAAGTGTTGTTGCATGCGGGAATCGGACCCGCGACACGTTGTATGGCAACCTCCGCACCAACCGTGCAGTCTTCTTATTTATATTATTGAATCCCATAGTCCGCTCGCAGTGTCGCCTCAGTCCACCAGACGGTAGTCCTTATAAGGAGATCGCTCCAACTCTAGACTCTGAGAATTGTGTCAATTATTGTAGCTAAGACGTGTCGTGTCGTCATGACGGGTAACCAGTATTGCGTATATCGTAAAGAGAATCAATTTTGATGTGTACTACTAGTGCATACATACTAACTATGTATATGATAAAATATTATGTGTTTATTAATCGACTTATATGTATGTCGTATGTCGTGGTGTTCCGGAGGTTTAAGACGCCCACTTCTCATGAATGAGGGTGCGGGTTCGAAACCTACCAACGGCAAGTACCAATGTGACTTTTTCCGAGCTATATGTACTTTTCAAAATTATTTAGACACCACCGACAAACGGTGAAGGAAAACATCGTGAAGAAACCTGGACTTGTAATTCTAATTATAAGTTTAAAATCGCCAACCCGCATTGAGTAAGCGTGGTGATTAATGCTCAAACCTTCTCCGTGTGAGAAGAGGCTTTGCTCAGCAGTGGGCATTTAATGGCTGTTGATGAACCGGCTTCAAAAAAAGGAGGTTCTCTGTTTGCCCTGTATTTGTGGATGTATATTTGTGCTCGATTGTCTCGCCATTAGATGAACGGGTTTTCAAAAAAGGTTTTATGTAGTATATTAATTAAACGGCTTCAAAAAAGGGGTTTGAAGTCGGTTTTATAAAACTCTATAGTTTATAAAATAAACAACATAACATAACATCACGTCTTTTATCCTCGAAGGGGAAGGCAGAGGTTCACATTATACCACTGTACAATGTAACACCCATTTTTCACTATTTATGTTATGTTTATAAAATAATTATTTATTTATGTTTTCAATTTCAAAATGAACAGTTGTATCCTATATAGAATATCGATTTCAAAAAGACATAGTAGACTTCTATCATTAGTCAGTACATTACAGCATAGTATGACGCATGCTACTATACGAAATTGACAGAGATGTCACCTATGTCCATTCATTGGTAGTTAGAAACGCATCATACTATGCTGTAATTTTGTATATATATGTTTTCATAACAGTTATACATTACACACGTATGACATAAAACGTAACATAACATCACGCCTTTTATCCTCGAAGGGGTAGGCAGACGTGCACATTATGCTACTGTACAATGTAACACCCACTTTTCACTATTTATGTTATGAGTCCCATGTAATAGGGGGTGAGCCTATTGACTATTTGACTGATTGACTATTAGGTATGACTATAAAGTTATATCAGGGTATGACCAAACTTTGCTGGAAAAATAAAAACAGTACGCCAAGTCCTAATTGTTCATTGCCAAAGGAATTTAAAAGCACTAGGAAATTAGCACCCACATAGAGATCGCCTATTTATTCAATAAGAACTGCAGACTTCAATAATAGAACTACTATTTATTAAATAATCACATCACCCACGCTTGGGCCATCAAGTATGCGACTCCAATGGTTTCATTGTCATACAGTAATCGGTTTTGAATGGATGTCATAAATGCATCACGTCCTATGAATATTTTGGTTGTATTATAAATTCAGACCAAGTGTCTAGGACTATACGTACATCCTTACAGGTTAAGGAAGTCTAATATATATATGGTTTTCTATTGAGGTTTCAAATCAATGGTAGTAATACTTAATTCCTATATGATAAACTCAGAAAGGTTGACCCAGATAGGCATGACGGGACACATTTACAAAGATGTTAATTATATTCGGATTTGAAATATTTGTTTCGTTGACATACAAGTTTCAATTATCATCATCATCATCAGGCCGTCTTCGTCCACTGCTGGAACTAGGCCTCTCCAATAGCACGCCACGACATCGGCAAGTTTCAATACAAAGACAAAAATAGAGTTGGATTTATTTGAATTGTAATAAAAAATCTTGACCTATAATACCTGTCATAATATTATGCATTTAATTGCATCACCTCTTTGTGTCAAGCTAGACTATTGTTAATATTTCTTTGTATTAATTACGTTTTTCGAAATTAATTGTTTTAGTTCTATGATTACAAATTGTTACAATCTTAAATTTTGTTATATTTATTAAATAAAAGTGCGACTGCTGAGCAAGGGGTCTCGGGTTCGATTCCCGGGTCAGGCAAAGTATTACTGGGATTTTTTAAAATTCTCAGTGGTAGCACGGAGTCTGTATTGTATCCGGTATAGACTCACCCCCTACATACATGTTGTAATAGGGGATTTTATATTACCATTGGTGAAAAGTGGGTGTAACATTGTACAGTGGCATAAGTAATGTGAACTTCTGCCTACCCCTCCCTCCGGGGATAAAAGGCGTGATGTTATGTTAAGCTGATTATGTTTTGGTTATGCTATTGCTTGTAAATTAATAAACTATTATTTTTATTCCAGGATAAAAGGCGACTATATAGTTGTGGATTACATCCCATCACCTCAAGTTGGTCTTCATCAAGTCGGGTTCCACTACTCTCAGTTTGCGAGTAGCCGTGTACAAGCTCGAGTAGTAAACGATACACTAATCATATGGGCACCTAAAGATGAATTACGGGACTACCAATTTATTCACAACTATGGCATAACGATAATTAATCTTATACATGAATACTCGAAGGAGAATCGTCCTTTGGTACAAGGACCGATTAATTTGATAGCCGTGCCAGCTGACATCAATGGATATGAAATTGGAAGTTGGAATCTTCTAACAAATGGGTGAGTGGTTTTAAAAAGTACTTCATAGTTTTATATACCTGCGATCTAAATAGGTAATATATCCGAATGAAAAGTTTTACTTTTGAGTAAGTATTACCTAATTACCAACCCTAACAGCTGTTAAGCTTTCGCGCGTTTCTCGTACACACGTGTAAATATTTTAATAGAAAGCGATTTTTTTTCAATCAAATAAAGAAACGGGTTGCTAACTTGAAAATATATGTCACAGAAAAAATATCCAATCGGTGCGCGTTTCTCGTACACCCGTGTGTACAATTGCGCGATGGACACTCAACTCTCTCGTACATCCGTGTGATTGATTGAAAGAATAGAGTGATTGGTCGAAACACAATACTTAGAGAAGTATTTGATTTCAGCTTAAAACTCTTCGAGATTCATAACAAACGCGTCTTAAATTATCATTTTTTCCAGTTAAATGATTAGGAAAAATTTTGATAAAATTTCGAGAATAAGTTTATATTCTCAAAATATAATGAAAACAGCGACTCGCATTACACAGAAATTGCTAAAGTACCGAACACTTATGCCGACAGACAGATTATAATGAAAAAATAACCCACGTCAACATTTTAGAGAAATCTCGCTTCCTGCACTAGAATCTGCGAAACTTGACCTATATTCTAATCTTGGGAGTTGCGTGGACGCCAAGGTCACCCGGTAGATGTGGCTAAATAGTATCAGCTGTTATAATACATAAGTAATATGCCCAGTTGTTCTCTGTTGTTGAAAATATTTCCGTCTTTAAATGTATTAATTTAATTCGAAAATGTGTTTGATTTATTATTTCATTCTACATTAATTTTTGTAGCAGACTTTATTTTATTTTAATTATTATTTTTGCCGACAGAGTTTCTGTAAAAAGTTTTTTTTATTATATTTTACACGAACTCTTTAGCAGTTGATACAACTCGACGACACGATGACGGTGTGAAAAATATAATTATGTACGTATGTATTTTTACCTGGCAACAAATTTAAAACCTATTTTTTGTCATCGTGAGTCATGCTACCAAAGAGTATAATAAGTATAGGGGATACATGCTACTCAAAACACATGACGTGTAGTGAGCTGAAATATATTTCAGAACTTCGTATTTATTTTATTTTTAAATTACAATGAACTTGACTTCGGGAAATTATTCAACACTTCGACTTAAAGACAATTAACTTGATTAGGTACATTTAGACTTTAGTATTAAACTTCTACATACATACCTACATTTTCATTTTAATCAAAATCAAAAACTAATAAAACGTAATATATTTAAGTGCACCATTATATATTTTTTCTTTTACATATTACAGAGAACATCGACTTGCAAAAATAGACCAGTTCACTAGTATAAAGCAGATTGAGTATATGACCTTCGAACTGGCACAGCAGCTGTGCAGGATATGGCTGGGTAACCCTGGAGAAGTGGAGAGGACTAGGTGGAAAGAAGAATGGTTCAAAGAAGGAATGGCTACATACTTGGCTTACTACTTCTTGACTCAAGTGAGTATAAAGAAACAATATAATGGTAATTTGCTTTGATGAAGTTGTCTTTGTTCTTTAGTCATATCATATCATGCATTTTGATCCTCCAAGAGATGGAGGTGTAACACTTTTCACTAGTGCGTCTATTTATTAAATAGTTTGGTCTACTAACATCGAATTGGAAACTTCTTACTGGGCAGATGCGCTTACAACTATTTAACTCGTCGAGTACCGGTTTTATAGACACAATTAAAGAACAATAGGTCGCGGTCACCGGTGACCGCTTGGTGTTCGACAGATTAAAATTAAGTCATCAATGTGTCACATGGACATTTAATGCTATTTTGTTCGTGCCACATAATGTGAACACTTATGTGAATAAACAAGTGCGATCAGGTGTGGTGCCAGCACAAAGCAAATTCTCAAATGAATGTCACGATTTTCTTTTTTTTTTTAATTTGACATGACAACCACACAATGATTTTATCCTGTATCATAGGTGCATTTAAAAACATGACAAGTTTACATACACATGGCACCCAGACCCGAAACAACAATTTATGGATCACACAAAGATTTGCTCCGTGCGAGAATCAAACCTGATGCACGTTGCACGGAAGCTGGTAGCTCAGCCACTGCGCCAACTCAGTACTCTAATATTACTTGGGGCTACTTTAAAATTTCAAAGACGTAATGCTAAAACAGTTCCAAAGCAGATCGATTCGTCATCGTGACCGCTAGAACATTAACCTTGATTTATTTGAAATTTATTATTGAAAGCTAAGTACGTAGCTATAAATATGATGACTAGAATTTGATATCGGCATGCAATGCATAAACACACAGACTGAAGCTTTTCCCTAATTATAGGAGAAACCTAATTATAGGAGGAATTGAGACTCATTGCATACTTCTATTTTTATATACGTCTTCACAGATTAAAAATTATACTCTTTATTTCTATGAAGTGAATGACGTTACCCTTATAAATTAGGAATATCGGTCATGGGAAAATTCAACGATCGAAATAATTTATAATGTTTTTGTTAAAGATAATGTTTTCTAGAAGCTAACAAAAATTTCTATTTTATAATTTAAATGGCTCTCACATCAATTACGTGATAGATTAAAATTATTTCTGTCTGTTTGGTTAAAAGCCGCGTCTTTATTCTAAGCAAAATATCAAACCAAAATCGATTATTTGACACCGCGTAGATACCTATGTAATAAAGATTCAAATTAACATGTCCCGATTGAATATAAATAAAAAATATTTATCTACCAATTCCAGTACAACCATGGTATCATGACACAAGAAAGACGTCGTCTAGCTGCTTACGGTCTTCAAATGAAACATAAAGCTATGGCAGTGGACTGGCACCGAAGCACTCCAGCATTAGATACCTTCAACACTTCATTAGCAATTGAGATACCACCAAGGTATAAGGAACTGGTGACTATGAAGACTGGTGCCATACTGTGGATGCTAGAAAACTGGGTGGAGTCTGACAAATTCCATTATGCTTTGGTGAATTATATCAAATCCAGGCGAGTACCTACATAGCTAATATACTTTTAGAAATTATATTTTTTTTTGTATAGTTTGGTCTGTTATGGTGTCTTCTTGACTCTTCTATTTAACTTAATTAACATTGTTATTATTGCACTACTTAACAGCTACTATGACTGTGGCTAACGTCGCTATTTTTTCCGCCAAAGTGTATCCACATTATTTGTAAGTTAAATCAGCATCTATCCAACATCATTACATTAGATGGCCGCCGCTTACCATACAGCCAGTTCTCTCATATCACCTTTCAAACCTGAACACCTCGGTGATCACAGTATGCAACATAGTGACCAATATCACCCATTATGACGGCTCTAGTTAAGGCCCCTTTATTTGGCGCTTTAACACATGTCTGAACTGAACTGCAAGTGTTAACAACATTATTTTCGGTTACATTACAGGAGAGGTAAATACATATCCCTCCAAGATTTCACCACGACATTAGACCACGATACAATCGAGTGCCTCCACCAGTTCTTCAACGGTTCCACTGCGTCCCGTATTCTGGGTTCATGGTTCAGACGGAGAGGGTACCCAGTGATCAACGTTCAAGTGTTGAGAGATCGCTCGCCTAATGCTGTTCAACTGAAGCAGGTAGATAAATATGAATAAATCACAAGTTGATCTTAAAAGATAAGTACCTATTGTACATGCAATGCACGTGTACATATATTGAACTCGAAATATTTGTTAACAGTTTAATTTAAATTATTTAAATCTGACTGTGTAAATTCATTTATGAGGATATTGCCTGAAACAATGGTTAACTGTTACAGAAGGCCACCTGGCACTAAGTCTGCCATCGTATGGTTTATACAGAAGGGATCTTCAATATTTACCTTGCCTATTTAATAATTTTCATTTTTTTTCTTTCAGAGACAGTTCAGCTTCAACCGTGAAAACCGTGAAGTCACAGACTTCTTGATCCCCATATCTTATGTCGTTGAAAACAACCAGAACTGCTACAACTGTTACCGTCCCAGGTTCACCATCGGTGCCCAGACTTACACCTTCGGAGAGGTATTGAACGATGGATGGATTATACTTAACAGACAGGGATCCGGTAAGTATCAAATCTTTAAGTTATCTTAAAAAAATATTATACTTTGAAATATCTTCCTAAAATATATTAGGGAAAGGATACATTTACGATTTTTACACGAATCCATAGTACTTTCTGGATTTTGGATGTACCAAATTCTGGTTAAGTGTGATAGCATTAATGTATTACATCAACACAACATCAAAAGTTATTAAATGTTTTTATACGCATTCAAAATGTTCTATCGGCAAATTAAATTACCCAATTTACGAACTTTAAAAGAAACGATCTATAAAACACCACAAGTTGTAACCATTTAATCTCTAGACTTGAGCTACTAAGAATAAAACTACTGAACTTGACAAGTCCTTGGCTTTAGTAATGAATCTATTTCTGTCATACCCACGATCGTAAAACAACGCTGATTTATACACGATGCAATGCATTTTGTAGACGAAGTAATGCAAATATTTTATGACGCAGGCGTCTTAGTTGAACATGACTTTGTATTAATATTCTGTTAACATTTAGTCGTTGAAAACTACAAATGTTTCTGAATAATAAATCAATAATGCCCATTTTAACAAATGTTTTATGTCGTCGAAAAATTTTAAATCGTGTTTTTTAAAATTTACAGGATACTACAGAGTCAACTACGATCCATTTACTTGGAGACTGATTGCCAAAACTTTGAAGGAGAACATGATGTCCATAGATGAACTGAATAGAGCTCAAGTGAGTTACCTGATGTTGTTGACTAACTCTAAAGTCTCTGGCACCAATGACCCTTCTCCCCAATCTCCTCAATCTCTTAAAGGCCAGTAACGTACTTGTCAGGTTTCCATAGGAGGCGCTAATTGCGTGCCATCGGGTGATCCGTCTACTCGTTTACTGGCTTATCTCATAAAACAATATTTCAAGTTCTGTTTGTGCAGTGAAGCAAACGGTCATAATAAATACTATGTAGTAAAGCTACGTCTGATATCGGGAGATCCTGGGTCAAAAATAAATTATTTTATTTTCCAATCCAATATTGAAAAATAGTTACACTTTCATTCATTGATTTAACGATATACTTATTTTCGATTTATTATAGTATTTTTAAGATATTAGTGTGCTATTTGACGCGAAAATGTGATGACTTCATAAGATGGTATTTCCTACAAAATTCATAGAACAGTATATCGTTTTTGACGTTTCGATAAAAGTGTTGATTTTGACTAGTTGTCAACTACCGTATTATAATATCTGACTATCGTACCACCTCAAGTTATTTAATATTAATTTAAGCAAAATAAAACGAATTATCTTTCTAGTAGCTTTTCCAAGATTAAACATAACAGTTAAAAAGGCACATAGGTGACACCCATTTGCAGTCGGAGTATCAGAACACAGCTCTTGTCCGTTTCCAACTGTTGTTCACGCAACCATTTCAGAACTTTGTGTCTCTTCAAACTTATATATTAATGATATAATGATGTAAATCTTTATTTCTTTTATCCCTCCTTTCAGATTGTAAACGACGTGTTTGCTCTGTATGTAGCCGGTGATTTAGATATTGATCTGGCCATGGAAATTCTGGAGTATCTGGACAAGGAACGTAGCCCTGTAGTATGGGAATCAGTGTTATCTGGGTACGATATGCTAATGATTGAGGGAGCTGCTTGTAATATGACCAGACATCTGTACTGGGAATGGGAGGTAAGATATTTTCAAAATACACATTTCAGTATACAAGAGACATTTGCCATAATTTCCACGCATGGCCGTAGATGGAGATCGCAGTTTAGAAAATCTAGGTTTATAAGAGAGCGCTGTTATTTCTCACCATGTTAAAAGAGCAGTATTTTAGTCATAGTTAAGTTTTATGACAAGGGTAATGATTAATGATAAATGTATTCAGTTCTGCTGTTTTGTTAGATGCTATAAGTGAATGAATATATATCTTATAGCCCTTTAATCTTCCTAAGATGAAAAGGAAAAGGTAAAGTTTATTTTTTCATGTTTGATTTCAGAGTTTCATGGTGAAGAAAATAACTCCAATCTACACGCAGCTAGTAAAGAGCAAGGACAATCAGTATTTGATGAGGCTGTTCAGAAGTTCGGTGGTGGAACTGGCTTGTTCACTAAATTATGAACCTTGTCACTATCACGTTAAGGACCTGTATATCGAAGACACAAGACATAAGCACAAGTAATATTATAATAGTTATTATGTATTAGATGATTAAATGTAGTTTTTTGAGAAATTCGAAACAGTAATCCTTCCTACCTGCTCGACCCACTGCCGACGCCGAGGCTGAAGTTCACAAAGCTTCATAATACAACTGTTTGAAGTATTTTACAATTTATTGACTAAGAGGAAATTGGTCATAAAATCCCCCTAAAATAGACTTAAGAGCTATTTTTAGTTTTAGGTGATTTTCACATCAACAAGTTAATAAAGTATGTTTTTTGACCTCACCTTATTTAATTTTTTTAGCCTTTTCCCTGACTGTCGGATGTCATATTTCTTCAAAGTGGCCAACGACACATCTATGAAAACTTTCTTACGTAAACTGAACCAGATTGAGTTGGATGACAAGAACACCGCTGATAAGAAAGTGTGAGTAGAAAAATGTCATCAATATAAACATAAATTAATTTCTGTTCGTTAGTCTCACTGAAACTCGAGAACGGTTAAACCGATTTGGCTAATTTTTGTTTAAAATGTGAGAAAAACATTTTTAGGCAGAACGAATGTTTCCGGGTCAGCTACTTGTTCTATAAAAACAAATTGATTAAAACCACCTACCTCCAGAAAAAAGTCTCCTTTGGTCCAAAATGTTTGGTTAGATTATTTGAGTAGATAAGTCAAGCCAATACGGCATACCTACTAAACGTGACTTTATAGTGCTAAATAAAATTTAGGTATAGTAAATAATTGGTATTATTTAGGTGTGGTATAAATAAAAAGCAACACTTGTGCGTACTGCTAAGGAGTGGAATTCTATGCCAGAGTCTATATTTCCTGAAGGGTGTGGGTGTCTTCAAGGCCCGAGTGAATAGGTTGTTTATGGGACGACGTGCTCCATCGTAGACCGCATCATCGCTTACCACCAGGCGAGATAGTGGGTCAAACGTCAATCCCATCTAATATAAAAAAACCTAAATTTTATTTATACATGGTACAAACGGCTAATTCTTTTTCTACTTTTTCTGTTTCAGACGCGAGAGAAATAGATTTTTCGCTAAATCTCCAATTGGAGAGCCGAGACCAATGCCCATAGCAATGTCTACTACTACAGAAAAGGTATTTATTATAACATTGACGAATTAACATCACATAGCATGTCGAGTTTGTCCAGGCTTGTTTCTAAGTAATTGAATAAAATACTTTATTTTGTAATCAAATTATGAAATAATTAATAATTAATAATAATAATTTACGACTGCCTCGTTGGCCGAGTGGTCGCAAGTGCGACTGCCGGGCAAGCGGTCTCGACTCCCGGGTCTGGTACTACTGGATTTAAAAAAAAAATTCAGTAGTAGCACGGAGTCTGAAATTGTGCCCGGTATATGGCAATAGGCTCACCCTCTATTACATGGGACTCATAACATAAATAGTGAAAAGTGGGTGTTACATTGTACAGTGGCATAATGTACACCTCTGCCTACCCCTTCAGGGACAAAAAGGCGTGATGTTATGATATGTTAATAAAAGTAGTGAAAAGTGGGTGTTACATTGTACAGTGGCATAATGTACACCTCTGCCTACCCCTTCAGGGACAAAAATGCGTGATGTTATGATATGTTAATAATTTACGACTTTTTTACAGGCAATAGAAACTGTTACTGAGAAGCTACAAACGGGCGGAGGATCATCGTCTGTAAAATACTCTTTGTTTATTATTTTTATAGCAATTTTCATTAATATATTTGCACGGTAACTTATATTTATTTAATACTTGCAAATATTATTACATATACATATAATAATACCCATGGATCCACCATGTCTTTTATCGTGGTTATATTATTTTTATATTACGTTAAAAGCCATATACAGTCATCATTTTATTTTCGTACATTTTTTGAATGATTTCGTCGGTTTTCGTAGCCTTATTTTTACGAATAGTGTACTTTGTTGCCGGAAATTATGTTTTGTCAATTTGTTTCCTTTTTTTATGAAACGTACTCTTGATATTTAAATCTATATATTTTAATATTACATCAAAATTAAATTTAAGAAGATTAATATAAATAGATATTATAACACTATCCATTTTCACACACGACACATTCCTTCTATTTTTGTATACTGTAAAAAACTAAAGTACATTGACACTGCAATTATCATTTATTTATTCTCTAATAATAAACACCATAATTCTAGTCATAATTGTTATTAGGAACCTTAAAATAAACGCTTTTTTAATATTAACTTATGTTATAATTAAGATTTTTAAATATATTTTGCTATAAATATGTACATATTACAATTTGTGTATTTAAGAGTTTAATATTCATTAATAAATTTATAATAAGCTTACATCTTATTTATCTAAAATATATTATAAGAATATTTAAATGACTTGATTTAAACTCACAATAAAATATGTTTTTTATGTTTAATATTCATTATTTTATACATATACCTTCCTACGTTACACTAATTATAATAAATTTGAAAATTTATTTGTTTGGATGTCAATCACGCTGAAAATACTGAATGGATTTTTATAACATTTGCTATATAGGCAGGGTATTGGCTGGCCAAGGTGATAGAATACTTTTTATCCCGATTAAATGCTGCCATGGGATAAAACAGAAATACGTGGGCAAAGTAATGAGTAAAAGTTGTATTATATTTTTCAGAAAAGAAACAACGTTTGACCGAGTTTTTCTTAAATACTTATTTTAAACTAAACTATTAAAATGTATAACTAGTAAAAATAAAAAAAAAACAGTTCAAAATTAAATAACTTACAATGGAATTTAGACAACCTCTCGTAATTTCCAGTAGGACTGACTTTTAAAAATAGAATTTATGGCTAATTTGCAGGTATGTAATAAAAAATACTATTGATTTGTTTTTACACCCTTTATCTGTATTTTACAATACTTTTCACCGTCAGTTAAATGCTGCCTTAAAATTATTTTTTTAATCATGAAATCTAAACAAATCAAAGATGTTTTTTGTTTTCAGTAGTTTTGGTACAACAGTTTTTTATTTTACAATATTTAGTGGCTATATTCTAGTTTTTGATTATTTTTTCACTGTACGTAGATTCTACATCTACATTATTTAAAATAGCACATAATATAAAACAAATTGTTTCACATATGTGAAATGTCTTTCACAAGTTTTACAAATCAACTAGATTTTTTGTTAGAAAAGTGTGTGTAACTATCGATGTAGCATTATAGCCATGATAGGTACATAGAGTGTTACTAGTGACGAAACAAGAGTGGACGTGTGGTTTGGATCAAAAGGACTGGCAGTAACGGGATCAGCTGGATCGTCGGGATCGACGGGATCAACGGGATCCATGGGATCAACAGGATCCATAGGATCAACCGGATCGATGGGATCTACGGGATCGACAGGGTCAACTGGATCGACCGGGTCAACTGGATCGACCGGGTCAACTGGATCGACCGGGTCAACTGGATCTACAGGATCAACAGGATCAACAGGGTCTACCGGATCGACAGGATCGACAGGGTCAACAGGATCAACAGGATCGACTGGGTCAATAGGATCAACGGGATCGATAGGATCAACCGGATCGACAGGGTCAACGGGATCGACTGGGTCAACTGGATCAACCGGATCTACGGGATCAACGGGGTCAACTGGATCGACAGGATCGACTGGGTCAACTGGATCAACCGGATCTACCGGATCAACAGGGTCAACTGGATCAACAGGATCGACGGGGTCAACAGGATCAACGGGATCTATTGGGTCAATAGGATCAACGGGATCGATAGGATCAACCGGATCGACAGGGTCAACGGGATCGACTGGGTCAACTGGATCAACCGGATCTACGGGATCAACGGGGTCAACTGGATCGACAGGATCGACTGGGTCAACTGGATCAACCGGATCTACCGGATCAACAGGGTCAACTGGATCAACAGGATCGACGGGGTCAACAGGATCAACGGGATCTATTGGGTCAATAGGATCAACGGGATCGATAGGATCAACCGGATCGACAGGGTCAACGGGATCGACTGGGTCAACTGGATCAACCGGATCTACGGGATCAACGGGGTCAACTGGATCGACAGGATCGACTGGGTCAACTGGATCAACCGGATCTACCGGATCAACAGGGTCAACTGGATCAACAGGATCGACGGGGTCAACAGGATCAACGGGATCTATTGGGTCAATAGGATCAACGGGATCGATAGGATCAACCGGATCGACAGGGTCAACGGGATCGATGGGATCGACTGGATCAACAGGATCAACAGGATCAACAGGATCAACAGGATCAACCGGGTCAACAGGATCAACAGGATCAACCGGGTCAACAGGATCAACAGGATCAACCGGGTCAACTGGATCAACTGGATCAACAGGATCAATTGGATCGACAGGATCGACGGGGTCAACAGGATCTACGGGATCAACAGGGTCAACTGGATCGACAGGATCGACAGGATCGATAGGATCGACTGGATCAACAGGATCGACTGGGTCAACTGGATCAACTGGATCTACGGGATCAACAGGGTCAACTGGATCGACAGGATCGACCGGGTCAACTGGATCAACCGGATCTACCGGATCAACAGGGTCAACTGGATCCACAGGATCGACGGGGTCTATAGGATCAACAGGATCAACCGGGTCAACAGGATCAACAGGATCAACCGGGTCAACTGGATCAACCGGATCAACAGGGTCAACTGGATCGACAGGATCGACGGGGTCAACTGGATCAACCGGATCTACGGGATCGACGGGGTCCACTGGATCAACTGGATCAACAGGGTCAAAAGGATCGACGGGATCGACGGGATCAACCGGGTCAACTGGATCAACCGGATCAACAGGATCAATTGGATCCACAGGATCGACGGGGTCAACAGGATCTACGGGGTCAACAGGGTCAACTGGATCGACAGGATCGACGGGGTCAACTGGATCAACCGGATCTACGGGATCGACGGGGTCCACTGGATCAACTGGATCAACAGGGTCAATAGGATCGACGGGATCAACGGGGTCTACAGGGTCAACAGGATCGACAGGATCGACAGGATCGACGGGATCGACGGGATCGACAGGATCAGTAGGAGCGACGACGTGAGAAATAGATTCATAAACATTATTTATATGCTGCTCTTCCCACTTCAGATTTTCATACACATACGCAAGTGCACGCTCAGCAGTCATTTGTGAGTTACTTAGGTTATTGTCCGGACTTTCCACCCAGATTCCAAACTGCGAACAAATTGTTTCATATTAAGAAAGCATAAGTAACTGAATTCTTATGTACCTAAACAAGTACTTAAGTAAGCAGTCTAGTTTTCTTATTCGCGAACAAATATTAAATTAGGTTTTTTGGTTAATTTCATTATTCAGTAAACATTTTGCAATAAAAGTAGTACACCACAATAGCGTGACTAATTTTTATTTTAACATCCGTCTGATAAGCACATTATTTTTAAACACTAGACACGAATTCTTTCGATTCCGATATTATTATTGATTTGAGATGTCGCGTGACGTCACATCTAGGGCGGTTTTATACGTAGAAATAATGTTTTAGCTCCTAATCTTAAACTTTGAGTCGTTTCATCTGAATATTGTTTCCTTATACAACAAATACGTGTCTAATATTTTTTCCATTACCTAAATGACAGACTAAATAGATTTTGATTTTCATACCCCGTCATCATCCTTGTCAATTTACGTTTACTAATTATTTACGGCTTAAGTAATACAGTATTCACTTACTTCTTTACTTAAATCACTGTCTGCCATATTTTCCGCAAGGACAAATATCAACTCTTCAAGTTTCTGAACGCCATACCTGAACAAACAACAACAAAAATTATTGTAAAGCCTCTCTTTGAAGACGATCATCATCATATTGAAGACAATACTTACATGTTTCTGATTTCATTGACTCTCAACCTCATGAAATCACGAGCTAGATCTGCATTCGTGTAACTGCTTTCTGCCACTGCAGCGAAAATCTTCACTCGTTCTTCTACACCGTAGGGACTATCTGCTGCTATAGTTTGCATGAGTAGTCTGAAAAGTTTTTTTGTTATTTAACGCGTGCAAAAGTCCTTATTTCGGGAATGTCAGTGATCACTTTAGTAAATAATGCACTAGTAACACAAGGAATTACAACAAAAAACCTCCATTATTTTTACTTACCCATGAATAAAATCGGGATCATTTGAGCATCCTAGAGACTCCAAAATGACGACTCTCTCGTAATGGGTCGGTTCGATATCCAGCCTGTTATATAGGGCTTCTATGATTTCATCACCACCTTCTCTCACCATAGTACAGTATACTGCTGGTCTGATGTCGTGTGGAATGTTAGGATTTCTAAAATATCATAGTAAAATGCAAACTTAGTTGTATTCTGTATAATTTTGTGTTAACTACTTAATTCGTCTTAGTTTTCTTGTTTAGACTGGCTAATATCGAGTTGTATAAAATATGTTATGTAATAAGTAGATGTATCTATGTATTGTATAAGCAAGATATAGCTATACCAAAACATCTAAGTCCAACTAAACATGGTCCGATTTATCTACTCTATATCATTTTTTTCTATTTATGTGTACGAAACTTTAAATTCTCATTCGAAATCGTAGTTTTAATTTTTTCTTGTGTTTATTCGTGGTTTCAATTTTTAACCGACTTAAAAAATGGAAGGAGGTTCTCAGTTTGTATGTATGTATG